TTCTGTCTCCATTGCCCCACAGCTGGGATTATAAGCCTGTGCCACCATCCCCGCTTTTTTCTTTTTTTTAACATGGATACTGAGGATCAAACCCAGGCCTTCATGGCAAGCACTTTTAGGACTGTGCCATCTCCCCAGGCCCAGAGAGTAAATCTTAATCAGAAACTAGGGCTGGGGCGATGGCGCAGTTAGCAAAACACTACCCAAGCCTAAGGACCTAAATTCAATCTCTGGAACCCACAATGGAAGCAGAGAACCAACTCCTGAGAGCTGCCCTCTGCCATGTGCATATGCACACACAATAATATCAAAAACTTTAAAAAGACTTTTAAGCTGGGCATAGTGGCGCACACTTTAATCCCAGAATTTAGGAGGCAGAAGCAGTTGGATCTCTGTAGGTTCAAGTCCAGCCTGGTCTACGTAGTGAGTTCCAGGTCAGCTACAGGGAGCCCATGTCTCAAAAAGACAAAAAAAAAAAAAAATTAAAGCCAATAATTCCAGGACTTGTAAATTGAATATTGCTATTAATGTAATAGTGAGCTGGGGGTAGTGATAGTGGCATATGCCTGTAATCCCAGCACTTGGGAAGGGGAGCAGAGGATCAGTGGTTCAAGGGCATCCTCAGGTATAATCACAAGCTCAAGGCCAGCTTGGACGACATGAGACCTTATCTCAAAAAGTTAAAATTTTTTTAAGTGTAAAGTAATATTGGAAACAGAATACGGGCAATCTTAACTGCGTGCCTGGCTCCAGTCAAGCCCTAGACCAGAGCCCCCTCCTCTGGGAGACAAGTAGAACAAGACCCATTTTATGGATGGGGAAACTAAGGTCAGGAAGATGACCCCTCTAACCTGCCCTTCTGTTCTCACAAGTTGACAGTGCTGGGCAGCTGTCCTTGTTGACCCAGAGCCATCTATCCATCTTGACCCCAGGAGCCATCCATACAGAGCAAGGAGAGGACTGGAACATGGTCTAGACTCTAACCTTCCGATAAGCCCCAAGAATCCCAACCCGAGTCCGCATCTGAAGGCAGGAAGCTGGTGGCCGGTGGGTAGCCGCAAGCACCGCTACCTCACTTGTTTATTTGGCTCTGGAGATGATCCACTCAGACAGCCACAGAGACAATCGCCTGCCCAGAACAGGGGCCAGGGGCTATACAGATAGCCAGGGAAGGCCCCTCTGAGGAAGTGGCATCCGAGCTGCAGGTGAGGATTAGAGGGTCCCTTCTGCCCTACGATGGTCAGGGATCAGTGACCTGAGCAGTCAGAGGCCCAACGTCTGTGGAGCAGCTGCTTGAGGCTTCTGTGTTTGTTTTTAGGTGAAGCTGGGGGTGAAACCCAGGGCCTCACACCTGCTAGACCAGTGCTCTGACCTCTGAAGCATACCTCTAGCTTCTCATTTGGCCTTCTTTTTCTGTTGTTTTTGTCAGACAGAAAATTGTTACGTAGCTCTGGCTAGCCTTGAACTCACAGCAATCCTCCCAGATGTTGAGATCAAAATGCAGCACCATGCCTGACTTTTCTTTTTTTTGTCTTTTTGAGACAGGGTCTCCCTGTAGCCCCAGCTGGCCTGGAACTCACTATGTAGACCAGGCTGGCCTTGAACTCACAGAGATCCGCCTGCCTCTGCCTCCCAAGTGCTGGGATTAAAGGTGTGTGCCACCATACCCAGCTCTTTTTTTTTTTTTGAGACAGAATTTCATACTTGACTAGCCTTGACTTCTTTGTGTATCCCAGACTGAACTCTCATAATTTGGGGGGCTTTTTTCTTTGAGAGAGGATCTCCCTGTAGCCCCAGTTAACCTAGAACTTGCTTTGTAGACCAGGCTGGCCACAAGCTCACAGAGATTCACTTGCCTCTGCCTCCCAAGTGCTGGGATTAAAGGCATGTGCCACCATGCCCTTCTCATAACTTTTAATATTTTTTTCACATTTTAAAATTTTTTACTAATTTATTAATTTTTATTTTATGTGTATGAGTACTTTACCTGAATGTATATAAGTGCACTACAAGCATGCAGTGCCCACAGAGGCAAGAAGAGGGTATCTGATCCCCTGGAACTGGAGTTACAGGTGGTTGTGAGCCTCCATATGGGTGCTGGGAACAAAACCCAGGTCCTTTGCAAGAGCAGCCAGTCCACTGAGCCATCTCTCGTGCCCAAACATGTGTGCGTGTGTGTGTGTGTGTGTGTGTGTGTGTGTGTGTACGTGCACTTGTGCTACAATGTGCATCTGGAAGTCAGAGGACAACTTTCAGAAATCAGTTCTCTTCTTCCACCATGTGGGGTAGCGGAGAACAAACTGCAGTTGTCAGACTTGGTGACAAGCAATTTTACCCTCCAAGTCATCTCACCAGCCTTGGCCTCCAACTCTCAGTGCCCCTGCCTGTGCCTCCCGAGTGCTGGGATTGCAAGTGTGCACCATCATGCCCAACACAGGTGATCTTTTCTGAGTGACATCTTTCACTTAAATGATGTTCTCAAGGCTGCAGCCTGGGTCAGAGCCTCATCCCTTTTTGTGGCTGCCGTAATAAGAGGTGAGAATGTAGTATGGATCTGCCATTTTCTTTATCCCTCCTTCCATCGATGGACATTTGGAAGTTGCCACCTTTTAAGCTCTGGTGAATAGCGCTTCTGGGGAGCTGTGAGCGTTGTCTGTGTGTTTGCCTGTCCATCCTCTAGCGCCTCTAAAGCGTGTGCATTATTCTTCCTGCCATATAGGTGAGGACTTGGGTGACAGTGATCCAGGGCTCTCATGATGGCCATCAGGCCACATGTGGGTCAAGCTGGGGCTGCCCATCTCCAGATGAGAGGCCAGAGTGGCAGAGTCTGGGCAAAACAAGAGAATAAACAGAGGGGTTGCCACACAGGAACTAGAAACCCTGATGAGGAGTCTGGGCTTGAAGTAAAAACAGGAAGTCTCGAAAACTGAGTAGAGAGAGGCAGGCATTATTTGTGCTTCCAAGAAGAATGATCAGGTTGGGGGAAGGGTTCACGGGGCAGCAGGTGGCGGGGTTGGAAGGCTGATGAGGTCCTTCAGGCGAGAGCTCGGGTAACTGGAGACAAGGTAGAGATGTAGAGAAGTAAAAGTTAGGGCTACATGTGACAGCTGTCACATCGGTACTTTTCCTGGCTGAGCCTCCTGGAGCTGTAGGAACAGGCAGTGGGTGTCTTGGGTTGGGCAGGGGTGTCACCAGAGAATGGGGTCAGATGGCCCTACCCATCAGCACTTTTCCTGGCTGAGCCTCCTGGAGCTGTAGGAACAGGCAGTGGGTGTCTTGGGTTGGGGGGGGGTTGTCACCAGAGAATGGGGTCAGTGGCCCAAGCAGGGAAAAGCTCCCTAACAGAGTAAACAACCATGTTGTCTTTATGGCCCTGTCCGTAGAGATCCACTGAAATTCTTAATGTCCTTGCCCCTTACCCTAGCCATCCTCCTTCTAGAACTTTGTCTTTAGTACTCAAACACACCCACTCTATATGAGCAACTGTGCTTGTTGCAACACTAGACAAAACATCCTGCGTAACCATCCATCAGGAATGAAGTCAGTCTTGGTACGTTCCACTCAGTGAAATCTTTGCTTTGTTTAAAGAAGGTAAAGTTGTTCTGTGTGTGTCCTGGGGAAAGACGTCCATGCCAGATTGGAGGTGTGAGTGTGGGAACATTTGGAAGAACCTCTGCTGTTCCAGGAGCAGAGAGGCTGCCCTGAGGGTGATCCAGAGCTTGCTTTTTGCTTTGCAGCTCTCAGTCTTTAGTGAGCAGAAATCACCTGTATTGTTAAAATATTTTGTCTGGAGCTAGAGAGACTGTTCAGTGGTAAGAGCACTGACTGCTCTTCCTGAGGACCTGGATTTGGTTCCCAGCACCTACATGGCTTCTAACAACCATCTGTAATTCTGGTTGCAAGGGATCCGACACCCTTTTCTGACCTCCTCGGGCACAACACAGGTTCACGTACATGCAAGCAAAACATAAAAAATAAATTTTTAAAAAGGAAGAAAGAAGGCCAGGCGTGGTGGCGCACGTCTTTAATCCCAGCACTCGGGAGGCAGAGGCAGGCAGATCTCTGTGAGTTCGAGGCCAGCCTGGTCTGCATAGTGAGTTCCAGGTCAGCTGGGGCTACAGGGAGACCCTGTCTCAAAAAGACCAAAAAAAAAAAAAAGGAAGAAAGAAAGAAAAAAGACGTATCAGGCAGTTTCAGTTGCCTTTTTTCAGATCTTGGTTTTTAAAGCTTGGGCTTCCCTATAGTCCAGGCTGTCCTCATAATCCTCTCGTCTCAGTCTCCCAAGTACAGAGATTACAGGCTTGCACCACCACATGGAAACTTAGTATATGGCCTAGGCTGGCCTTGAACTCCTGCACCCAAATGATCCCCCCGCCCACAGCCTCCCAGGTAGCTGGGATTACAGTGTGTGCCACTCTACCCAGCTTTCTGTTACCTCTGAGAAGGAACTGGGCAGCCACGGGAACGAGGCTGAGCCACCACATCTGGCACATAACTCAAGGACCACTCCCCTGACAAGCACCTGCCCTGCACAGTTGACCCCTGGAGCCCCACAGCTGGTGCCACTCAGTGTACTGGGCTTCCTGGAGCCTTCTCCCTGTGCTTTGAGGCCTGCCCCAGAGACAAAGGAAGGGCCCTTGGTCCATGGAATCCACTCTGACCTCCTGGCCTGCCTTACCATACCCTGCCCCCTTCTTCATCCTCCTCTCCTGGTTTGGTTTGGTTCTGGCGGGAAGAACTGGCAGGAGAGTTAGAATAAGGTGGAAATCTAGGCCGCCCTACCCCTCCTCCTCTGGAATGCAAATGAAGGACAGAAATAAACCTTGAGATCCTCTCCCAGCCCAGGGGTGGTCTGGCTCGTTTCCACCGCTGGGTCTGCTGCAACATGAGGCAGATGGGTGCTGGTCCTGAGCTGCCTGCCTGCCCTGGTACCCGGGTCCTCATACCGCCAGTCCTACTGCCTCTCCATATACTCACACTGCCCTCTGTCTCCCTTCCAGCACTCCCCACCATGGCCTCGGCTGATAGAAATGGCAGCAGCCTCTCCTCTGTGTCCAGGAGCCGCCTGCAGAGTCGGAAGCCGCCTAATCTTTCCATCAATATCCCACCACCCGACACTCAGGCCCCCGATGAGCAGGACAGCATGCTACCTGAGGTGAGCGGACAGGACTCACTGCCCCGGCCACAGGCAACAGATGTGCCCACAGCACCTTCTAGATGGTTTCATTTTCTAAACATACCCTTTCCTCATGGATCACTGTAGGCAGTGAGGCCTTGAACTCACACTTGGGAGCTCTGGCCACTGGTGGCCAAGGAACAAGGAAGCTGGTCCCAAGGCAGTGCTCATTGGCAAGCCCAGCGCTGGCTATTTACATCTAAGCTCCCTGGCCCAGACCCTCTGTGCTTCTGAGGGATGTGGGCTGTCTGTGGTGGCCTGAGTGAGCATAGGACAGGGTTCCACAGCCCCGGAACCACTGCCTTGGCTCCCACAGAGACAGGGAAATGGGTCAGTGTTTCTGTGTGTTTGGACTCCTGTCCAATAAAGAGCTTATTGAGAGCAGGCCCCAATGTTGTGGGCTTCCCACACAGCCTAGGACATAAAGGGGGCTATGTTGGTGACGTCCACTCACCCCAAGAGCTCTGTAGAACATGTGAAAGCAGACAAAGACCATCCTGGGCTGAGGTAGGGAGGGTGTACTAGAGTTGGGGCTGGAGAGATCGCTCAGTGGTTAAGAGCACTGACTGCTCTTGCAGAGGACCCAAGTTTGGTTCCCAACACCCACATGGTGGCTAACAACCATCTGTAACTCGAGTTCTAGGGGGATCCATTGCCCTCTTCTGACCTCCATGGACACTGTACTACGTAGGTGCACTTACGTACATGCAGGCAATACACTCATACACATAAAAAAGAAAAATAATATTAAAAAAAATTTTTTTTTTGTCTGAGACAGGGTCTCCCTGTAGCCCCAGCTGTCCTGGAACTCACTATGTAGACCAGGCTGGCCTTGAACTCACAGAGATCCGCCTGCCTCTGCCTCCCGAGTGCTGGGATTAAAGGCTTGCGCCACCATGCCCGGCATATTTCAAAAAATTTTTAATTCTTATTTTATGTGTATAGTGTGTTGCTTGCGTGTACATATGTGCACTCATGTCATGCAAGGCCCAAGGAGGCAAGAAGAGGGTGTCTGGTCCCCTGGACCTGGAGTTAAGGACGATTCATAGCTGCCATGTGGGGGCTGGGAATCGAACCCAGGTCCAGTGCAAGAGCAGCCAGTGCTCTTAACCACTGAGCCATCTCTCCAGGCCCTTGTTTGTTTTGTTCAGACAGAGTCTTAGGTATCCCTGACTGGCCTTGAACTTGCTACATAACCAGGGATTACCTTGAACTTCTGACTCTCCTGCTTCCACTTACCAAGTGCTGGGATTACATGTGTGCACCAGTACACCACAGCTATATGGTACTGGGAATCGAACCCCTGACTTTGTGCATGTTGACAAACTACCAACTGAGCTGCATCCCTAGATGTCACTGGAAAACATTCAAAACTGTTAAGTTCAGATTGAAGGGTTGGACAGTAGGGTGCCACTCAGGGGTAGAGTGCTTGCCTATGGTGGAGTGCTTGCCTATGGTGGAGTGCTTGCCTATTGTGGAGTGCTTGCCTAGTTTGTATGAGTCCCTAAGTTCAATTCATAGCGCTCAAAAGGGAGTGAGGACACAGAACCTCCCGGGTGGTGGAGGAGCTATGTTTTTTCCCAGGACTTTCCCACTGGAGGACTGAAGAAGAGCCAGCCTGGGATCAGGGCTGTACACTTACCACCCGTCCTCCCTACCTCCCCACAGAGACCCAAGAACCCAGCCTACCTGAAGAGTGTCAGCCTCCAAGAGCCCTGGGGACGAGGGCAGGATGACACGGAGAAGCGCCCTGGATTCCGCCGGCAGGCTTCCCTGTCCCAAAGCATCCGCAAGTGAGTACCCTGCCCTGCACGGTCACCCTAGCAGATTGCATGTTCTGAGCACCCGATCTTTCATGGGGCCTAGCCCTATGTCCCCTTTCCAGAAGGCATAGACAGAGTTATGAACAGCAGCTCTCTGCAAGGATGGAGTGCAGGAATCTAATGTGATGGCAGAAATGGGGAAACTGAGGCCCAGGAGTATGTACTTTACAGAAAGTCTCCATGTGGGGACAGGGTTCAAGGAGCTGGGGACAACACACTGCAGTGGTTCCCAGGATCCTTCCAAGTTCTGTGCATGGTGTGGCCTTCACACTAAGCCTGCTCACTGGGCTCCAGCTGGCGGGCCCAGGGAAGGCTGATCCTCCATCTCCCCAAGGCACATGGGGACAGCATCCACACAGGGTACACATGCCACCACCCTTTTCACCTTGCCCCACCCACATACACTGTCATTCTCTATCCAGTGTTACCTATACACCTGCACTCTCACCCCACGTCACCTCCTCTACACCGGCACCCCCACCCATACATCATCTCCCCTATGTACCTGTATGTGCACTATCACTTTCTCCACAGGCATGTGCTGTCATACCCTGCCCCACCTCCCCTACACACACACATACACACACGTGCGCGCACACACACACACAAACACACACACGCACCCTTACCCCACTTACCGTTCCTCAGCACACATGTGTCGTCCTCCCCCATGCCATCTCTAAACACATGCACTGTACCCCGTACTTCCGCTGTGCACACAGGTGCACATCCCCCTGACTTGCTCCTGTCCATGTCAGCATGCTTCCATCCACACGCTGTCCGTTGTACAGGGGCACGGCCCAGTGGTTCGGGGTCAGCGGTGACTGGGAGGGCAAGCGACAGAACTGGCAGAGGCGCAGTCTGCACCACTGTAGCGTCCGCTATGGCCGGCTTAAGGCCTCATGTCAGAGAGACCTGGAGCTGCCCAGCCAAGAGGTGCCGTCCTTCCAGGGCACTGAGTCTCCAAAACCCTGTAAGATGCCCAAGGTAGGCTCCCAGGAGGTGAGGGGTTGGCTGGGCTACTTTCCAGGGCCTGGTCAGCCCTGCTTACCCTCTGTCCCTTGCAGATTGTGGACCCACTGGCCCGGGGTCGGGCCTTCCGCCACCCGGATGAAGTGGACCGGCCCCATACCACCCACCCACCACTGACTCCAGGGGTCCTGTCCCTCACATCCTTCACCAGCGTCCGCTCTGGCTACTCCCATCTACCCCGACGCAAGAGGATGTCTGTGGCTCATATGAGTTTTCAGGCAGCTGCTGCCCTCCTCAAGGTAAGGCACCTGCTGCAAGATGTATGCCCCCTCCCCCACCGGGCAGTCTCACAGCTCACCTAAGAATCTGTCCTCTGTGCTTAAGAGTTTAAAAGGAAAGCTCCAGGGCAGGCAAGCTCTGAATCACTCAGCTGCCTGGAAGGGAAGAGGAGGATGGGGGAAGAGAAGGAACTGGAGCCTTCTGCCTGAAAGAAAAAAACAGAAGAGAAGGAATAGTTACACCTTCTGAGGAAAGGTGGACAGACCCAGCCGAACCTCATGATGGCTCAACTAGTAGGGTCTGTAGTACGAGGTGGGAATTCTGGGAAGGAAAAGCATATGCTCTTAAGAAGGTGAACCCTTTTTCCTAGGAGTGGTCCCCTGGCAGGTCCCTGGCCTGCACCAGTGGATTAACCCTTAAGTGAGGAGACAGTAGCAGTCTCCACCTAGAGGGAGATTGCATTCTTTAAGGAGGGTGTCACAGAGTGGTGATTTCAGGAAAGGTGCTAATGGCCAGGGATGGTGGGAGTAAGCCCAGGAAAACAAGGAAGTATTCACCAGGGGAGGAAAGGCGGGAATAGCATTCTCAGCCAAGGGACTGGTCTTCACAAAACCAGGAATAGGAAGAAGGTTTGGGGGAGCAGCGGTTTGAGGAGTGGCAGGAGATAAAAGTGACAGATGGGCAAGGGTCTGGTGTGCTGGGCCAAGAGGCAGAGGGGAGGGCGTGACCCAAGCCTTGAGAATAAGGGTATGGAATGTGTTTGCCTTGAGTATTGGGGTACCAGCTGCTCAAATCAGGCAGAAGGTTGCAGGGAGGAGCTGACCCCAAGCCATGGAAAGAGAGGCTGGGCGGGGCACGCTGCAGCAGGGGCCCCATCCTGGCTTTCAGCTCTCAGCGACTCCTTCAGCCCAGCCACCTCAGATGCTCCATGCCTTTGGGCAGGACCCCACCTCCAGTGCTGCCTCTTCACTCCTGTGGGGCTGCGGACCTAGGATGCTGGGTCTTCCCTGGTACTGATGGTCAGCTTCTGTCCTGTTCCCAGGGGCGCTCTGTTCTAGATGCCACTGGGCAGCGGTGCCGAGTGGTCAAGCGCAGCTTTGCCTACCCTAGCTTCCTGGAGGACGATGCGGTTGATGGAGCAGACACCTTCGACTCCTCCTTTTTTAGTAAGGCAAGCATGGGGTGTGGGCTTACTGGATGGGGTGGCCTGGGAGCTGGGAGAGGTGCACTTCACTTTGATTATGTCCTGCCAGGAGCCCTGAAAGGTCCAAAGGCCAAATAGGGTGTACCCTGCATTTAGCTGTCGGACTAGGCTCCTGTATATGGGGCCATGGACTGGGGATGGTACCCACTGTCAGGGTTGACAGGCATGTGGCTCCCCTTCCATCTTGAAGAGAACTGCCCAGTTTTGTCTTCAATTGGTGTGCAAGGCACAGTACTTGGGACAGTGTCCTCCTTACACTGTCTTTCATGTCTCCCACCCCAGGAAGAAATGAGCTCCATGCCTGATGATGTATTTGAGTCTCCCCCCCTCTCTGCCAGCTACTTCCGAGGGGTCCCGCACTCCGCCTCCCCAGTCACCCCTGATGGGTTGCATATCCCTCTGTGAGTATAGCGTGAGGTCTTTCCAGTTTCCAGCCCCTTGCCTTACCCAGGTCTCCACCCCTGCTGAGCCCCTGGCAGGGTCCTCAGGCTGAGAGCCACTGTCACCATCAGGAAAGAGTACGGCCGAGCCCCAGTCCCCGTGACCCAGCGTGGCAAGCGCATCGCCTCCAAGGTGAAGCACTTTGCCTTTGACCGGAAGAAACGACACTACGGCCTGGGTGTGGTGGGCAACTGGCTGAACCGCAGCTACCGCCGCAGCATCAGCAGTACCGTGCAGCGGCAGCTGGAGAGCTTCGACAGCCACCGGTGAGCGGGCCGGGGCAAAAGACTGAGTTGGCTGGGTGTCAGAACCTCCCAGAGCGCCTCCTGCAGGTTGGGCATGTGATGACAAGCTCAGGCAGCAACAGACAGCCTAGAAAGAGCCCACAGACATTTGCTCCCTCCCCACCCCCCTCAGTGCATCCCTAACCGGGGTGGCAGACAGCACTTTCATAGAGCACCACCATATACAGGCTCTGGAACACATCTCCAAGACAAAAACATAAGGTATGCGGGCTGGTCAGAGGCACGGAAGTTGGAGCCTGCTGCTGGGAAAATAGTGACCCAAGTTCAGTCCCTAGAATCCATGTAAAGATGGAAGGAGTGAACCGACTCCACAAAGTTGTCTTCTGACCTCCACATGCATGTGCTCTCCCACACACATATCACATACACACGTGTTAATAATATTTATTTATAGCTGGGACTTTAGGCAGATCCTGTCTCAAAAAGAAATGGTTGGAAAGAAATGGCTGGAGAAATGGTTCAGTGGTTAAGAGCACTGACTGCTCTTGCAGAGGACCCAGGTTTGATTCCCAGCACCCACATGATGGCTAACAGCCATCTATAACTCTAGTCCAGGGAATCCAATGTTCTTTTCTGGCCTCTGTGGGCATTGCACGCATGTATAACATACATAAATAAAAGAAAAATAAATTAAGCCAGGCATGGTGGTGCACGCCTGTAGTCCCAACACTTGGGAGGCAGAGGCAGGCGGATCTCTGTGAGTTCAAGGCCAGCCTGGTCTACATAGTGAGTTCCAGGACAGCTGGGGCTACAGGGAAACCCTGTCTCAAAAAGACAAAAAATAAATAAATAAAAATAAATAAAACACATACATTAAAAAAATAAATAATTTTTAAAATTTCTGTGGGAACGGCAGAGCTGGGGTGAACAGAGCTTAGGGGGCTGCGCATGAGCTCTACCAGGCTGACCTGAGGCCTTTGCCCACAGGCCCTACTTCACCTACTGGCTGACCTTTGTGCACATCATCATCACCCTGTTGGTGACCTGCACCTATGGCATTGCACCTGTGGGCTTTGCTCAGCATGTCACCACTCAGCTAGTAAGTCGGGCTCCCCCCCCAGGGGGGGGTCCCAGCCTCCCCCAAGGGACTTCAACACAAATGGGCACCAAATATCTCCCATCACAAGCCCAAGCTGGAGGTGCTCGGGGCTTAACATAGATTGGTCTTTCCTGGTGGCTCTGACCTGGGAACTCTACCCAGACCCTCTCCCTTCCCCTATACCTCTGAAGCCTTGAACTATCTCTTTGACAGGTGCTGAGGAACAAAGGTGTGTATGAGAGCGTGAAATACATCCAGCAGGAGAACTTCTGGGTCGGCCCCAGCTCGGTGAGGCACCATCTGAGCAGGGAACCCCGTTTCCTGTCAGTCCATGCTGAGCAGGCAGGCAGTCCACCTGTTTAACCCCTCATCAGAGGAGGCTTCACTGTGGGGATGGGGTGTCCTACCCCTCCTGGGTCTGGGATGCTGGCTCAGCAGCCTCTTCCCTATCCCAGATTGACCTGATCCATCTGGGAGCCAAGTTCTCACCCTGCATCCGAAAAGACCAACAGATTGAGCAGCTGGTGCGGCGGGAGCGGGACCAGGAGTGCGAGTCAGGCTGCTGTGTCCAGAATGACCACTCCGGCTGCATCCAGACTCAGAAGAAGGACTGTTCAGTGGGTCTAACCCCCTGACCCTGCCAACCCCACTACAGATCCACACCCACTCCATTTACCCTGCCTGGGAGAAGGGCCCTTTGAAGTGTGACACCGAATCCCTCCCTCCTCCTCCTCATCTACCCTCCAGCCTATAGGCCTTTGGCCAGCTCAGGTCCTCCCCAGGTCCAGAGGTGAAAACCAGGCTCAGGAAGTTGCAGTGGGTGGTATCTGGGAGATGCCTGAGGAAATGGGAATAGCCCTTGTCCTGAATGGTCCCTACACCAGCTGGGTGGCATTGCCCTGGTATGACCCGACCTTCACCCCTCCAGGAGACTTTGGCCACTTTTGTGAAGTGGCAGAATGATACTGGACCCCCTATGGACAATTCTGATCTGGGCCAGAGGCGGACATCAGGGGCTGTATGCCATCAGGACCCCAGGTACAGCCTAGAGCCATCTGTGGATCTAGAGTGACCCCCTCCCCCAGCTGCCAGGGCTCCCTGATGGGACACTAGTGGGTAAGTGTGGCAGACTGAGGTACCCCAGACCCTCATTTTGTCCAATCCATCCACTGCCTCCAGGACCTGTGAGGAGCCAGCCTCCAGTGGTGCCCATATCTGGCCTGATGACATCACCAAGTGGCCGGTGAGTGATTGATGCATGTGAGTGTCCCACATGGCAGGTAGTCTTAGGAAGGCAGCAATGTTTGGCTTCCTGTCACTGAACCCCATCGATGCCCCTTCTTTTAGATCTGTACAGAGCAAGCCCAGAGCAACTACACAGGCCTCCCACACATAGACTGTGAAATCAAGGGCCGTCCCTGCTGCATTGGCACCAAGGGCAGGTGAGCCAGCGTGCCATCTGCCTCCTAAGCTATAGCATCCCGTGGCTGATGTTCCTCCATTTCCACCACCCAAGCTGATGGGCTCCATAACTGTCTTTTGTCCCCCGTTCTTGATCACCCCAGGGTATGATCCCAGAGAAAAGGAGCTTGCTCCAGGATGGAGATCTCCCCTTCCTGCCTGCAGGGGCCAGTTGCTGGGCTGTAGCCTTAAGTGGTAGGGACTCCTTAGAACTCTAATGCCCTGTCTCCTTCCTGTCCCCAGCTGTGAGATCACCACTCGGGAGTACTGTGAGTTCATGCATGGCTATTTCCATGAGGAGGCAACACTCTGTTCCCAGGTAGGCAAGGGAGGGCTATCTGCCTGGGTAAAGGAAGCTGGGCACTGTGGGGGGCCATGGCTCAAATGGTCCTTCCTACTTCGGAGCCTCAAACCCAGCCGGCCTGCCTCCTGGGGCAGCACTGACCACCCTGTGCCCCTCACCCCAGGTGCACTGCTTAGACAAGGTGTGCGGGCTGCTGCCCTTCCTCAATCCTGAAGTTCCTGACCAGTTCTATAGGATCTGGCTGTCTCTCTTCCTACATGCTGGGTAAGAGGCTCCTCACCACTCCCCACCCCCTCCCCAGACTCTGATGCCTTCCCACCTAGATGCCAGAAAAAGGGCTTCCAGGCCAGGGCCCACCTGGCTCAATCTGCCAGCCCCGACCGCACTTTGGTGTACCCGGCTAGTGGCCGTGCGCACACGGCAGGGCTGACGCTGTGTCCCCGCCCCCAGTGTGGTGCACTGCCTTGTGTCTGTGGTCTTCCAAATGACCATCCTACGGGACCTGGAGAAGCTGGCTGGCTGGCACCGCATCTCCATCATCTTCATCCTCAGCGGTATCACAGGCAACTTGGCCAGTGCCATCTTCCTCCCCTATCGGGCAGAGGTAGGGACTTGGGAGACAAGGGCGAGGAGGGCGAGGCAAAGCCCCTCCTTTCAGGCCTGAAGCTTTGTGACATGTGGGAAGGGCCAGCCCTACTGTTTCCTGCCCCACCCCCACCTCAGAATCTGCTGCAGGGGCACAGGGCCCTCTTGTGTCAGGCTTAACTGCAGATGGACAGCTAAGCTGGGGGCTTATTGATTGATCCCTTAATTCCTGCCAGGAGGGAACAGGGCTACTCTTTGGGTTACTGGGATCCCTACTCTCTTCTTGCTCAGTGAAGTCCCATGTCTGATCTTGACCTTCAGGAGTGGCGGTCTTGACCCTTTCAACCTGAGTCTGTTTGCGTGTTCTGTTTTGTCCTCACTGTCTGCTATCCACTGGGAGCAGTCTGGCTCATACTAAGCACATGCATCCTGCACCCAATCTTCAGTATTTGCTCCGAGGATGGAGAGAGCAGACCCAACGGCTCCTGATGCATCCCCTGCGTGGGAGGAGGGCACCAGGGCTGGGCTTCCCCTGCTACCCAAGAGCAAGGTACCACTTCTCCCTTCCCCATCCCAGGTGGGCCCAGCCGGATCACAGTTTGGTCTCCTCGCCTGCCTCTTTGTGGAGCTCTTCCAAAGCTGGCAGCTGCTGGAGCGGCCCTGGAAGGCCTTCTTCAACCTGTCGGCCATCATGCTCTTCCTCTTCATCTGTGGCCTCCTGCCCTGGATAGACAACATCGCCCACATCTTCGGCTTCCTCAGCGGGATGCTGCTGGCCTTTGCCTTCCTGCCCTACATCACCTTCGGCACCAGTGACAAGTACCGAAAGCGCGCGCTCATCCTGGTGTCGCTGCTGGTCTTTGCCGGGCTCTTCGCTTCCTTGGTGATCTGGCTCTACTTCTACCCCATCGACTGGCCCTGGATCGAGTACCTCACCTGCTTCCCCTTCACCAGTCGCTTCTGTGAGAAGTACGAGCTGGACCAAGTGCTGCACTGACCCCTGACCCTCCGGGACCATGCAGAGATTGTATCTGCCCCGGGCCACCTGTCTGCAGAGACTAATGGACAGATGGGGTGCTGGCCCCAGGTGCTCTTCTGCCAGGTAAGGCTGGCTTCATGTGAGACACGCAATAATGGTGGGTTTCCTAGGGGAGATGAGGACCCCCCAGCACACACACACACACACACTTTGTCAGCCCTGCATGCTCCTGACCCACTGGGGACACCTGATTCTCCAAGGCTCAGGTCCCAGGCTCTGTTTCCCTCCCTACCCCAAAAGGGGTGATCACCCTTCTTCGCAGGTGCCTTCGTCTGCAGGTGCCTTCTCCCCGCCATCACTGTGACTATGACCTCGTCAAACAGCTGTTCCCTCAGTTGTCCAGAGGGAGCAGCTGTCCAGGTTGAGGTCCCCACCATGCTCCATAATCCCTCTTCCTTTTTCTCCTCCCATCCCTGCCCTACAAGCCCTCCCTGAATTCCTCCATGGACTCATGAGCCTGCTCCTAAGGCTCCTGGCCTGAACATTGTAGGAGAGGCCTTGCATGGTCTAGGGGCAGAGACAAACAAGGAGATATTACTGCAGGGATGCTAACAGTCTTTGTTTTAGCAAAGAGGCCAGATCTGCCTAACCCATCAGCCCCGGCCAGCTCCAGCACTGGTATTTGGTCTCATAGGTTGGCTCTAATGCCAGGGCATCCCCACTGCCTCTGCCTCACGCCCACCTGTGTGGGGATGAGGCTGAGCTACCTTGACCCGATTCCAGGGGATGGTTGAGGTTCACTGGGCCTGCTGTATGGTGTGTTGTTGTTGTTTGTTATACCAGTTTATATTACAGTCCTAATTTTTGTAAGTAACGCTAACTTTGTATGGATGATGTCTGAGTGTATTAAATGGCATTCTTTATCAAAGTATTGTTTTATCCTAAGATCACTGGAATGAAAGTTTGAGCTTTGGGTTCTGGAGAGCTCAACGGTTTGCAGCACATGCTCTTGTAGAGGACTTCGGTTCTGTTCCTACCACCCACATTGGGTTGCTCCCAACCCTGGAACTCCTGTTCCAGGGATCCAACACCCTCTTCTGGCCTCTGAAGCTACTGCATGCACGTGGTGCACATATAGACAAACGCGACTATACACATAAATAAAAATAAATAATTTCTTTTTGGTTTTTTTGAGACACAATCTCCCTAAAGCCTGAGCTGGCCTGGAATTCACTATGTAGGCCAGGCTGGCCTCCATCTCACAGAGATCACTTGCCTCTGCCTCTCAAGTGCTGAGATTCAAGGTGTGTGCCACCACACCCAGCTCTAAAAATAAGGCATTTTTAATTTTTAGTTTATGTTTATTTGCATGCCTGAGTGTGTATCTATGTACCACGTGTGGGTAGACAGTTATGAGTTGCCATGTGGGTGCTGGGAATGGAGCCTGGGTCCTCCAGAAGAGCAATCAGTACTAGCGCTCTTAACCACTGAGCCATCTCTCCAACCCTTTTAGCTTTCTTTTTTTAAAAAAATTATTCTGGGAGCTGGAGAGATGGCTCAGCGGTTAAGAGTACCTGGCTGTTGGAACCTGAAGAGTACCTGGGTTCATATCCCAGTGCCCAACTGGCCACTAACAACCATCCCGTAACTCCAGTTCCGGGGGATCCGACACCCTCTTCTGTCTTCCATGGGCATTGCACAACACAGGTGCACTTGCATATATACACACAATACATTAATACACATAAACAAAAAAGCAAAAAAATATTATTCTGGAGGGCTGGAGATATGGCTCAGCCATTAAGAGCACTGGCAGCTCTTCCAGAAAGCCAGGGTTCAGTTCCTAGCACCCACATGTGAGCAATATGGCATTCTCCTGACAACCTCTGGGGAGCATTTCTGGACACAGGTGCACTTATATAAAATAAAAGTACTCACTGGGCGTGGTGGCACACACCTGTAGTCCCAGCACTTGGGAGGCAGAGGCAGGTGGATCTCTGAGTTCAAGGTCAGCCTGGTCTACATAGTGAGTTCCAGGACAGCTGGGGCTACAGGAAGACCCTGTCTCAAAAAGACCAAAAAATAAAATAATAAATAAATAAATAAAAGTACTCATACACATTAAAAATTTAAAAGAAAGCTAGAGCTTTTGGGGGTGAGGGCAACCTTGAGCTGAGACAAACTGAGAAACTCTTGGGATTTCTCTAGGGTTTAGTGGAGCCAAACACCAGATTGGGATCACAGAAGATCTGAAAGGCCTCAGAGGACTGAGCTGCATGCTTAGGCCCCTGAGGTCCCTGCCCCAACTGCTCTGCCTTTGTTCTAGAGTCTGGGGGAAGGAGAGGGGGTGATGATGAGTCCAAAGGGCAGCCTGCTCTGGCAGAAATGGCCTTGAGGGAGAAGGTAAAGATTTGTTCTTGACTCCAGCCAGGCAACCAGTCCACTCACTGTGCCTTACTCACAAGACACACACACACACACACACACACACACACACACACACACATAATTGGAGACAGCACTGCTTTATTAGTGGGCAGAGGTCCAGGACAGAGGGGGAGCCTGGAGAGGCAGGTGGGTGGGCACAGCCATGGGGTGCTCAAGGGCAACAGAGAATGGCCCAAGGCTGCCTCCACTGCTCAGGCCCAGGCCCCTCCCCATTGAGTTTTTGGCTGTCCCCCATTCCCAGGGTTGGGGGAGGGGAAGGACCCCAAGGATCAGGGTACTGCACTGGTGCACAGAAACAGACCAGAAAGAGAAGGGAATACAGTAGTAACAGAAACCTCCCACTGCTCCTGTCCACCACCCCTCACCCCCACTGTTCCCCTTTCTCCATCCTAGCAGTTTGGAATGTAAGAGGACCTAAGGACAGATGAAGCCATCCTCTCCCCTTTACTGGCTCTGCCCACCACTCCAACTGGGAAGTGCTGTCTCTCTTCATGCTAATCAGCTCTGCTTAAATGCGGGGTGAGGGGTGCCTGCTGGACAGGAACCTGCATCCTGCCTCTACCCGCCCTCCACTGGGCCAGGCAGCAGCTCTGGTCAGCAGCCACTGTTCCTGCGCAGGAAGGCATGGCCCCGCAGAGAGCACTGTAGCTCAGTGAAGGTGAGGGAGCCCACAGTGACTGCGCATGGGCCCAGAGCCTGGAAGCCGAATTTCTCATAGAAGGGTACCAGTGCTTCCTCACACATGAGCACAGCCCGACGCACAGCCGGCTGGCTGCCCAGATGGTGCAGGTATCGCCACAGCAGGACGGAGCCCTTGCCCTGCTGCCGGAAGATGTGGTGCACCGCGAGTACGTGCAGGTGGGCTGTGTGGCCTCCAGGCCTGTGCAGAGTCAGTGACTCCTGGGGGTGAGCAAGGGACAGAAATCAGGTCACCCAACCAGAGAGCCCTGAGTGCTTTATCAGGGCTCCCTTCCCACCCAAGCTGGACCCCATTGGGAACCATATCTAAGGCCACATAGATGAAACTTCAGAAGTCTTTCAGGACCCCTAAAGGGCTGGGCAGGGGACGCTTGCCTATACAGACTGTACTCAACCTGTCTGCTTCTGGAAGAAGAAATTCCATCTCTAGGGAGCTCTGCCTTCTGTCTGGCCAGCCTCTTTCCCAGTGTCTTTTAAGAGCCACGGGTCACAGCTCCACCCTTCACTCACCTGAGTGAGTCTCTCCTTGTCCCAAAGGGAGCCGATGATGAAGGCTACCAGACACCCCTCCTCGAACCAGCCCAAAGACAGCTCTGGACACAGGGTCAGGAAGTGCTGAATCTCATGCAAGTAGAGGGGACAGGTGCCCGAGACAGAGATGAACGCTGCAATAGGAAGCAAGGGTGGGCTGCTCACTGTGCCTCCTGCCCATTGACCACGTACACAAGTGGTCACTCAGATGTTCTCACCGCCCAGGAAAGCAGGTGACTCAGGTCTGTCATTTCTCATACTCTAAAACACACACACACACACACACAGAGTGATCGCAGACTTAGCCCCTGTGTTGATTAATTTGTCAATTTGACATAAGCTAGAAACACCTGGGAAGATGGATCCTCAGTTGAAGAATTTCCTCCATTGGACTGGCCTCTGGCCATGTCTGTAAGGCATTTTCTAAACTGGTAATTGATGTGAGAGGGCCCAGCCCATCATGGGTGATGTCATCTCTGGGTAGGTGGGCCTGGGCTGTATAAAGAGGGTAACTGATGGGGCTGGAGAGATGGCTCAGCAGTTAAGAGCACTGACTGCTCTTGTAAAGGACTGGGGTTCAATTACCAGCACCCAATGATGGTTAAGAATCGCCCTTAACTCCAGTTCCAGGGGATCTGACACCCTCTTCTGACCTCCTCAGCACTGCACAACACAGGTGCACCTACACACATGCAGGCAGTACACATAAAAATAATAAATTATATATATATATATATTGGTCTTTTTGAGATAGGGTCTCCCTGTAGCCCCAGCTGTCCTGGAACTCACTATGTAGACCAGGCTGGCCTTGAACTCACAGAGATCCGCCTGCCTCTGCCTCCTGAGTGCTGGGATTAAAGGCGTGCGCCACCACACTCAGCTTATAAATTATATATTTTTAAAAAAATATTTTATTTACTATTTTTTAAATATTTTATTTATTATTTTTAGTTCATGTGTATGAGTGTATTGCCTGCATGTAGGTAAGAGCAATGTCGTGCAATGCTGTGGAGGTCAGAAGAGGCTGTCAGATCCCCTGGAACTGGAGTTACAGATAGTTGTTAGTTGCCATGTGGGTGCTGGGATTCGAACCTGGGTCTTCTGGTTAAGAACCGCTGAGCCATCTCTCCAGCCCCATATTTTTAAGAAGTATTTTTAAGAGGTTTTTTGTTTTGTTTTTTTTGTTTGTCTTTTTGAGACAGGGTCTCCCTGTAGCCCCAGCTGTCCTGGAACTCACTATGTAGACCAGGCTGGCCTCGAACTCACAAAGATCCGCCTGCCTCTGCCTCCCAAGTGCTGGGATTAAAGGCGTGTGCCACCACATCCGGTTTAAGAGGTATTTTTAAGAAGGTAGCTGAGCAAGCCAGGGAGAGGCAAGCCAGTCAGCAGCGTTCCTCCATGGTCTCTACTTCAGTTCCAGCCTCCAGGCTCCTGCCTTGAGTTCCTGCTTTGCTTCTTTCAAGAATGGAAATGTAATTTGTAAGATGAAATAAACCCTTTCCTCTCCAAGTGGTTTTTGGTAATGGTGTGTATCACAGCAACAGAAAGCGAACTGGAATAGCCCCCCCCCCGCACGCCTCACCTTCACGCTCGATGAGGAATACACTGATTGCATCCTCAGGGGTGAGGCAGCGAAACTCGCTGGCGGGGAGTGTGTGGCGCCGCTGGCAGCCTGGAGACTCTGAGGTTCCGGGTGGCAGGTGCATGATGTCAGGCTTCAGGGGATGCGTGCTCAGCATGGGCATTCTGGTGGCAGGCACCTCCCTGGGGTTCCTCAGCTTCAGAAATGGTTCCCTAGCACCTGTCAGAGAAGAGAATCAGGTCTGGCCTGGCAAGTCAGAGTGAGGTGTATATACCTTCTTTAGGGATGGGGCCAGCCCCTAAAGTGATGGGCTCCTAGCTTTCATGCCTGGAGATCACAAAGTACAAACATTAGTGTTATTTCCTCACTTTCCCTCATAGCCAGAGGAGCCTCAGGACCCTCCAGCCAAAGCTCTAGACTGATTTCCCTGCCCTCCAGGTACATTTGAGCCTTGGTAGACTGTAGGCACCCCAACACTGTTGCCCAGGGGGGCAGTACAGCAATGGCACACACGAGCCTCCTCTGGCCTCTTCTGAAAGAAGAATGGGTTAAGCAGGCCCCTGGGCCTCTAATATTGCCAGCAGGTAGCTTGCCTCGCTTGCCCAGACTCCTGGTCCTTGGCACATGAGATGGGTTGGCTAGAAACTTTTTAGGTAGCCTCAGGCCAGGAGGGGAAAAAAAAAAAAAAAAAAACTCTTTAATTACTGTGAGCCAGAGGGAATTTCCACAATTTCCCAGTTGATTTCAGAGTAGGTTAGGTTCACAAAATAGGGGATAAGGCTGATTAGGAGGCTAGAAGAGTCTGGGGTAGGGAGGAGCAGTTGTGGAGGGCACACAGGACAATATGCCTGCCTGCCAGCTCAGGGTTATTGAATAAAGAGTAAGCTCTTTCCACGGCATCCTGCAGAGTAGTGGTTCTTAAAGGATGCTTTCTCTTCCTCTGCCTTCAAAGGCATCTCAGAAAGGCCTAGGGACACCAGGTGTGGTGACACACGCCTTTAATCCTAGCACTTGGGAGGCAGAGGAAGGCAGATCTCTGTGAGTTCAAGGCCAGCCTGGTCTACATATCAAGCTCCAGGCCAGCCAGGGCTACACAGTGAGACCCACATGCTGGAAGGAGAGAATCGACTCCTGAGTTGTCCTCTGACCACCACAAGTGTACATTTATACAAAATAAATGAATGAAATGTAACATAAATAAATGAAATAAACAGGCTGGGGAGATAGCTCAGTCAGTAAAATGCTTGCTGCACAAGCTTGAGGGCCCAAGCTCAATCCTCAAAACCCACAGAAAAGGCTGTGACCTTCCCCAACATTTGCAATCGTAGCACTGGGGAGACAGGGAGAGGTGACTCCCTGGGGCTCCCTGACCCAGCCTAACCTACTTTGTGAGCTCTAGGTAAATAATAAACTCTGTATCAAAAAACAAGGGGGAGCAGGGCGTGGTGGCGCATACCTTTAATCCCATAGCTCCAGAGACAGAGGCAGACACAGGTTGCTCTCTAGGAGCTTAAGGCCAGCCTGATCTACGTAGTGACTTCCAGGCCAACTGGGACTATAGGGAGACCCTGTCTCAAGAAGACCAAACAAAAAACAGAGATGGCTCAGCAGTTAAGAGCATTGGCTGCTCTTGCAGGGGACCTGGGTTCAGTCCCCAGCATCCACATGATAACTAACAACCATCCATAACTCCAGTTTCAAGAAAATCCAATGCCACACAGGTACACGTAAATACATTCAGGCAATACACTCATTCACATAAGATAAAAATAAATAAATAAATATTTTTTAAATAATTAAAATTAGAATTAAAACAAGAGACAGCTCCTGAGGAATGATACCCCAAAATGACCTCTGGCCTCCATACACTCATGCATCTGCACACACATGATCACACACACACACACAAAGAGCCAGGCCCACTTACCAGGACTGTGGGGAGGAGGCCCAATGTCCCCAGTGCAAAACCAGTCACCTTGGGGGCTGTTACCAGGTACAGCCACCAGGAGAACCTGGGACCTCTGTCTGCAAGGCAGCCACAGCACCTCCTAAGCAGCATGTGATGTGCTCAGAGGTTTCTAATCCCCCTGGCCCTGCCAGTGCAAGATAACGCCAGAAAGGCTTGGCAGTCAGGCCCTGGCCCAGTCCTGCTGAGGGCAGGCGTCAGCACTGGCACAGAGGATGAAGAGGGGATTACCTGCAGCCGGCTGAGGCCCTGGGCTGTGGGAAGGGCATAGACTAAGCCTGGGGTGTGGATCTAATCCCTGCTTTGTCCCCAGCTGGCTAGATGCCAGCAATCACCATCTGTCCCCTCAGAGGCCAGCTTGCCTCCAAGGGTCCTTTCTGGTCAGGTGGCCTGCTATTATTTATAACCATGTCCCGGGGAGACAGTCCCTGCTATCCATAGGACAACCCTGCCAGGTGAATGGAACCCCATTTTACAGAGAGGGAAACAGAGGTTCTGCTCCACGACGTCATGTACCCAGTGAAGCATGGAAAGAGCAGGGAGGTTCCTGAAAGCACTTTTCATAAACCATCCAGACTGGGGATACCTAAACACCCATCAACCAGAGAAGACTGTGGGCCTACACAAAATATCAAACCACACCACAGGGGGCACCAGCCACTATGAAGCAGTGTTGTGGACACAACCAACGCAACAATGATAGAAGCCAGAAAGGAAGAGCGGAGCTGTGTGACACCCTGGTGGTTTCTTATCCAGTATCAGGACCAGGCTAGTGGCTGCTCTGTGGATCTTTGGGGACACTGGTAACATTCAGCTCTTCAGTGGAACTCGACTAATCCATGAAACCAATGTATGTGTACATTCTGCTTAAAGTTTTTTGTTTTGTTTTGTTTTTTTGGTCTTTTTGAGACAGAGTCTCTCTCTAGCCCCAGCTGGCCTGGAACTATGTAGACCAGGCTGGCCCCGAACTCGCAGAGATCTGCCTGTCTCTGCCTCCCAAGTGCTGGGCTTAAAGGCATGCACCACCACACCCAGCTTTAAAGTTTTCTTTAAAAAATTGTTTTGTTTTTTTTTTTTTTTTTGAGACAGGGTCTCACTGTATAGCACTAGTCCTAGGATTAAAGGTCTATACCACCACACCTGGCCCTAAAGTTTTCTTAAATATTCAAGTGGTTACTCTATCCAGTATCTCAACTCCAAAGCGTGCTGGCCACCATTGATCTTTGTCCCACCCATTCCCAGCCGCCCCCAGCATCTGCAATATCCCCGTTCCCTCACACAACTCTGGTTTCTCCTGCTCCCTTCCACTCACACCTCATCCTGCCTCTCTGAGCTCTTCTCTGGCCAGCATCTGTTCTGTCCTACCAGATGCTCCCAAGGTACCAGAGCACCCGACTGGCAGGTACATTCCCTTAACCCATCACAGAGGGCACACCTGCTCTTATCCAGGACCCCAGTATGGATGGAGCACCAACCTTTACCTTGGGGAGACCCAGGGTCAATCCAGACACCCCAGCACAGGCCCCCTTTCTGCTCTCTGAGACCCCAGAGCCTCCCCATGCTGACTCAGCCACCTGCTGCCTGGCCACTTCCCATCTTTTCCCTAAGGAGATCTCAACTGACTTCTCAGGGTTGACCAGAAATACCTCCATAGGGTTGGCCCTTGGGCCCAACGAAGAAAAACTTTCAGGACCTCAGCTGGGCACCCACACTTCCAACATCCAAGTGCCCTAAGGGCTTCCTGTAGCCTTTCTTAGCCGCTGGCTCCATTGCACCCCCTGGTGGCCAATCACAACCATTCCTAGCTGGACACAGGATGGTGGTAAATCTATTTCCTTTTTCATTGACCTTCCACAGATCCAGTACTTTCTGGAAAACACCACTTTAAACACTTGCCCCTTTGAGAACAGGAAAAGCTAGTGTATCAGGCTAAATTGGGGGTTCCAACCCCACAGCAGGCAAGAGAGGAAAATGGAGAAAGAAGGTGATCTCTGGGTTTGAAGAAAATGTGCTGCCAAGCTAGGGAGTTCTATCTGCACACACCCTGGGTTCTATCTCCAGCACCATCCAAACCAGGCCTGGTGGCATAGGCCTGTAATCCCAGCACTCGAGAGGTGGAGGCAGGAAGATCAGGAGTTTAATGTCATTTTGAGCTACATAGTGAATTAGAGGCCAGTCTGGGACACATGACAGCTCACCTTTTTTATTTTATTATTTTATTTCATTATTTATTTTATTTTATTTTATGTGCATGTGTGTATTGCCTGCATGTAGGTAAGTGCACCCGTGCCATGCAGTGCCCTCAGAGGACAGAAGAGGCTATCGGATCCCCTGGAACTGGAGTTAGGAAGGCACAGGAACCAGGTGTGGTGGTGCGTGCCTTTAATCCCAGCACTCAGGAGGCAGAGGCAGGCGGATCTCTGTGAGATCAAGGGGTCTATGTAGCGAGTTTCAGACCAGCTAGGGATACAGGGAGACCCTATCTCAAACACAAAAAAACAAAACAAAAGAAAAAAAGGCACAGGAGATAGAGAGACGCTCAGTGGTTAAGAGAACTATCTTCTCTTGCAGAAGACTCAGGTTCAGTTCCTACCACCCATGTGGTGACCCACAGCCATCTGTAAGTCCAGTTCCAGGGGATCCAATGCCCTCTTCTGACCTCCAAGGGCATTGTATGCACATGGTGTGTTGGGGATCCCTGCTGTGTAAAAGTAGCAGTCTCTCCATGTCCGGAAAGCTCACGAGCTCGGTTCCATATGCAGAAGACTCCTTTTCATCAGGGTATCTTTCTGGCATTTTCCTGACTCACCTTTTTGAAGTGCCCGCCACAAATGCCCTAACATAAACATGGCCTCTGGCTCTGGAAATACCATGCTTTCCTGTGTGATTTTTCAGGCAGTCTGACAGCATGGCAGGAGCCCACTTCCATATGTAAATAGGGTATCTCAAAAAGTGCCTATCAGCTAAAGCTTTTAGCACTGCCCCCACAGTATAAAATATCCCAGTCTTCTCTCAATAATTTGGAGCTAGATTTGGAGCTAGATTTGGAGCTAGAAGCAGAGCTGGAAGCGGAGCTGGAGCTAGAGCAGGAACCGGGTCACTGAGACTTGGAGAATAAAGAACTGTACCACTGAATTTGACTGGACTGAGTTCTGTGTCTCCTGCCTGCAATGTAGTCTCCCCGGGGGGCAGCATTCCTCCGTCACCGACTCACGGATCCCAGCTTTAGCCGCCTCGCATGGTCCAGCGGCTG